TTCAACGGGGACCACGCCTGCAAGGCCAACTCGAATCGGTTCAATTCATTGTTCTCGCCTCTCTATCGTTGGGTTTTTCGCCGTGTTAAACGTTGAATATCTATTTTCCCAACTGTCTCGTGTTTGGCTTTGAGGATTGCGTGGTTAGGGCCTCATGCCACTACAAAACCATACCCCAACTACGACTAAGGAGTAGAATTATGAGTTAGGATCAGTTTGTGTTTGCAAAATTTCTGATTGAACCTATGAGAACGTTTGTTTCAATAAAAGTGCAAGAGCGCTTTCATGCAATGAGTCGACAGGATACAACTTTGTTTTCACTGTGGAAATTCAAGACTAGTATATTCAGTATGTGTTGAGGCATTGCGTACGGAAGTTAAGTCCAATAGGCTAAATTTCTAGAGATTTTACTGATTATCTGTGTTCGACTATTTGTTGTTAGTTTTTCAAAGAACTCCTCGGGATGATGAGGATTATGTAATGGATCCCAACTAACAGACGGCATATTGAAATCTGCACCAACTAACCTAGTTATGGATGATGATGATGATCAAGGTGTGAATATGTAGTGGCATTGGGTCCTAACCACAATCCTTAAGGCTGAACATGAGATAACTGGGAAAATAGACTTCCAACGTGTAACACTATGAAGAGGTCAATAATGATGAACGCCGGAACATACATTCGAAATTCAGTTCAATCGGATGGCATGGATCAGCTTTGTGTGCGCGGTTATTTTAGTGTAACTTATCACTTTTATCCATATTAAATATACTTTTCTATCTCCAGCCTAAATGGGTTCTCCGTCATGTATTGGTGATTATTACAATACGATGAGTCAGTGTAATCAATGATGTGGCTTCCACGTATGATCTTATAAAGTAAGCAGTCGCATCATGACAAATCTATAATTTTAAGATTAGGTCTATTATTAGGGCTGTACTAATAACGAAGTAGACCAAAATTCAACAAATATCAGACATAAGTATGTACACACTGTATGGACGGCCAATAGATATGACTGATTATAAAGTGCTGATGAACGCAATTATATATAATGATGAATATAGAACCATCTAACAGTTCAATACTCTATGGGAAGATTGTAGTCAACGGAATATCAAGTCGCATATAAATTAAACAGCCTCCATCTCTACCCAAACTTCGATTTCTGCGGTACACATTGCAAACGACCGTACAAATCAGAAATATCAGGTGTGCACCAGGTTCCAGTAAATATAATGAAGCACTGATTAACTAGGTACACTGAAGATATAAGATTAGTAATCTTACTGCAGAGAAAGAGTGAATAAAGTAAAATAGTAAAAACCTGTGCGGAGATATTGGGTTACGACAAATCACCAGACAACCTAGTGAGCGAGGAGTTATTTCGTTGAATGTTTATATGATTGAGATTTGGAGAAGGTACTTCATAACTAATAGATGATCCTCACTAAAGAAATGTGATGATCATTTTAGGGGATTAGGATGATTCATTCCGAAGATCCACATCAATGTGCGACGTATAGTAATGCAAGAAATTGAATGATGTATCTAAGAATTAGACAGAGGCGTCAGTTATGAAGCTACTACAGCTAAGAGGTGTGACTAGTGGTGGATTTAAAGCGGCGAATTAGTTTTTAACTGATTGCTCATTTCGTTGATAACAAGAGTAATAGAAGAAAATACCAAATGAGCTGATGCATTTTCCTGAGGTCTTTAACCAGGAAGAACGGGTGAGGATTGTGTCTGATTTTATATTTCACATATGGCCGAAGACAACTGACTCTAGATGCTTCAACAGACGTGCCATCAGCGGCCGTTTCCCAAAATAATCTCATACAGGCTGACTGTGATGTGCACTGTTACCTATAAAGTAGCGTTAACTATCAAGTTCGTAGCTAGATCTATAGATATTTGCATTAGTGTGAGCCTGGAAAGTACCAGATGTACGCGATTGGAAGCAGTTGTGATCGGTTTTGTACATAGAAACCATTTTCACGTAGTGGTTAATTTGCTAGAATCAAACAACCGTGATCTAAGAAATAAACACTCACATGATTCGGGAAAGGTCGGACCGCTTATTCGTAGCATGTTGCCAGATAGCTCTACAAGATTTCAAGTCGAAGAATTGATTAGAATAGGTAAGAGGACCAACAGAAATGTTGAACTACGACTGCATAGACTTCATGGAGTAATCCTAGGGATGAAGAAACAACGAGATATTTTGTTAACTATCTCTCGTAGTCACGACAATACCGACATTCGACTGAGACCCGATATAACTGTAAGAGAGAATTAAAGGGAAAACGACACTAGGTGAACTAAAAACTAATTGGCAGAATGGTGAGGAAAATCTACGTCTAGTAAGTTTCCGAGTAGTCATTGTATGAAAATTATTCTACACTGTCGTCAGCTACAGCCTTCCAATCAATGTACACATTCAATATTAAGGAATGGATAATATATAACTTGCATAAACGTTGTAACACAATCCAACTGATTGATTATAAGATTTTGTCACACAAAAATTAATTGTAAAACAGACGAGATAAGAACCGTCATTAAAAATCTGTTACGAAAACAGATTCCTAGGTAGGAGAAAAATTCCCTCACCGAATTCTTTTCATTTTTATTCAGTGATACGAGAAAACAATTGACGAAGTAGTTATTCCAATCTGTATAACTCGCAAGCTACTGCCTATTTCCGCTACAGTGGCTGCTCAAATATCAACGATGAACTAACATCCAATCACAAACCAAATCGAACATGCACACCCCAGCCGAATCGAAAAATCAAAAGACAAACCAAATCAAATCAAACAAATCAAATTTGGCAACTGGACTATTCTCACTGAAGTATCGAAAAATAACATGCTACAGAATCATTAGTTGCGACATCCTAAGCGGTTCGGTTCACCCTAAAAGTCTGTTTCTGCACGAAAACTACTACAGAAATCCATTGCGTAACCGCTGAGCAGCCTCTCGTCAGTGAGATAAAATTAGAGAGAAACTTTGATTTTCATCTATTTTACACACCGGGATGTACTTCTAGGTGAGCTGACCATAACTCTATTACTAGGATGTTCACCAGTAGGTAGCTCTCTAAACTAGATAGCTTTGCAAGCATTCGATATTGATTGTTATCTCATTAGTTTAAACAAGCTTTTCGGAGTAAGAGACTACTGTTGAAATTCTTCATCTGATTGCAGCGGATCTAATGCGAGATGTCTTTCGGTTGTTCTCCATACAGCACAGATGTTTCATAGTCCTTTGCCTCTGGGTAAAATGAGATATACGTTTTCCTTTACTAATATCACCTCCTTTGTTCGGCTTCTGGTGAACCTTTTCAGCTACCCCTATATCAAACCTCATTGCTTCAGCCGATGTGGTATCTGGTCATGCTTCTTTGTGATTCTTGATTTGCAAGATGGCCTTACGGATTTAGATTATTAGTGACGTATCATCCATAGGGTAGTCCGTGTGTGCTTCTTCGAGTTCCGTTAGGTTCACTGATGCCGGTTTATTCCAAAGCCCTTTCGAGTGTCCTACCCACTTTTCACGCTGCTCTCGAACTTCGACTGACCTACGTTCTCTTCCCTTGCAGGGTAACTCGGATTTGCCATATTTCTGTGCTAGCTTCATAATTGCATCATATGGCTCGCATACATTTTCCGGCTTTTTCCGCTATCGTTGCTAAGTTTTCCACATATTTCCACTCAAGGTTTTGATGCTCTTCTCCTCATAGTTGCCTGCTTCTGCAAACTCGGCCTGTCTAAGCATTCTTTGCTTTGTTTGAATGCTGTCGACTTATGCTTTATTAAACCCCCTTTCTTGAATCCTACCCATACCGTTTACAAAGATCTATTTTTTGTATTAGTGCCTCTTGCACTCCATCACTTTCTGTTATGTTGAAGTTATTGCTTCTTTAATTCTTCAACTGTTCTCCATAGTAGTTTCTCTCTCTAGCAGATCTTTTAAGACTTGGAACTTGTTGCGGAGAGCTATCTCGAGTCCAGTGAGTTTATCTACGTCTCAAAGGAAGAAAACATCAAACTTTTACAATGGGGCCTGCCCGGTTGTCCAATGCCACTTTGGCTTTAGTTCCAGCTTAACCGTCACCAGGTGGTGATCTAATATCAGATCAGCTTCTCTTTTTATGCTTAGGTCTTCCATAGACTTTCTGAATCTTTTATTGATTCACACGTGATATATTTGGTTTGCCTCAGTGTGTTTTCTGACACACATGAAGTTTTATGTATTCACTTGTGAGGGAAAACGATCCCGTGTTGTTGAGAACATTCATATGTACCACTCTCTCAACATTCTCGTTTCTTTCTCCCAGCCAATGTTGCTCCTTGATATTCTACTAGCTGATGTTTACAACACCGACCTTGTTAGTTAAATCCTGAATCAGGATGGTTAGATTTTTTGGGAAGTTCTCCGCGATGAACCGCAGTCATACAAAGCTGGAAATCATTGAAGACTGAGCAACACCACATGTCATTTACTGCAACCCTTTCTTTGTTTTGAAAAATGGTTTAATGATCACGGTGCAACAAGATTCTCATTATATAAGCGCTGGTCGTGTTTTTTGTAGAGCATCAGCGAGCCATTTTCTCCTTCAAGATCAGAATACTATAGCACCAATCCCGAAGCTGGTCTTTTCTGTTCAACTTTTCCAATGAGTTTCACTTATTCCAAGAAGACTAAGGTCCTGTCTTCTCATTTACACCACTGTTAGAATGATCCTCACGGTCTCTCACATTTTTCAAACATTTCATGTGCTTATTTAGTTGTTGCGCTGATTATCAAAAGGGGCTGTTTGTGAGAAAAGTTATCTTTACGGGCTGAAATTGCAAATGAATGACTGAAATAAGTGAAAAAATGTTTGTTTTCTTCAACAATTTACGAAGATACTAGGTATTAGATTTTCTTATTTGCGATGTTGAATATTTGTTTGTCAACACTACTACTTAGAGTTTTGACCTTCGGTTCCGTTTAACTTTAGTTCTGAGATCATCGTGGTCAATGTCCATCCATAATAAGCATTTGGTGGAATATGACCATCCTATCAGAAGGCAAGGTGACAATGGACTTTGAAGTTGGTTTTGACAGCAGTGGGAGTGACTCTTCGTCTTTGTATAATTCCGACTCCGGAGTCAGTGTGGAGACTCCGGCCTCATGTAACACATCGGCGGCCTTCAATTTCGAACGTCCAGATGATGCTGAATATCTATACTGTGATCTACTTTCTTTCTATGAAACACATTCCGTGACAGTTATACAGGCGGTACAGTGTCTTTCTAATGTGGATATTGACATCAGTCGTAACGCATGTACTTATTTATTCAATTTATGCAGGTGTGGATACGCGTCATTTATCGCCCGTATATGTCCAGATGTTTTCTACAATGTAAAGATACCTGTATTTTGCCCTTCTTCTAGTAAGTACGTAGATGTAGTTCATTGCATGAGCGGCATTATAAACTATTTTTCACAGTGTCCAGATGGACTGGTCATGATAGTGCACAATGGAGGGCTTGATGTCATTAACGGGCTTCTGCTTTTCCCTTTTGAATCTGTCTTATACTTCTGTGTGACTGCCCTTCATAACATATTACTAAGTCACAAAACAGCTAAAGGTCTCATTAATCGAACATGCATTTCTAATCGTTTAATAAATCTTCTAAATTATTCTGTTGAGCACGTAAAATCAGACACACCGTATTCATTAACACCATCAAACTTTCAGAAAAGTATCAATCCAAAGTTCTTGGCAGTTCTCTGTGATTGTTTGTATATATTAGCATACAGATCTGAAAGCACGAAAAAAACGTTTAAGGAACAAGGTGGACTATCTTCCCTTCTCAAAGTTATCATGATCTCGACTTACGAAAAAGTTTTATGGACGGCTACCAGACTTCTTCGAGTTTTGTCTGCATGGATTCCCGTCAAATGTGAAATAATTGCTCAAGATCCACATTTGGATTTCTTTACTCATTGTTTAGAATGTCACTCATCGCGAGTAATAACAAACGCCCTATGGACTATGAGGAATCTTTCAGATATCGCCGTAAATAATATAACATCGGATGTCTCCGTTAATGTAGTAAGACAGCTTCTTCATCAACTGAGACTCAACATATGTAGTGATAGCTATGGAGCTTACTATTCAACCAATACTGGAGGTGATACTCCTATGTCCCGGTGTGTTCTAGGAGCACTAGCAAATTTAACATGTAGGAATAATGCTGCAAAGTCCTACGTTGTTCGGGTAAGTCTTTGAAAAAAATTCCTTGAATCTTGTTCTAATTCACACTTTTAAATCTTTGGTGGTCTTTTACTTCCTCTAATTTCAAGTCCTAGGTCGAACGCCGCTTCACTTACCTCTATTTTGGTAATCTGGTAACATCAATGGCCTTGACTGTTAGTGTGATTCATAACCAAGTGCTTGGAGAATGAGTTGATTGAATTCAATCTTAGAGATTTTTTTCTGAAACTGTAGCTTTAAATCACTTGACTATATAAGTTGGTTTAGTTGCATGATTTCACATGTATAGTATCATTATTCTAGAGTACAAATGTGTAACTACTGATAGTCCAAATAATACTAGCCTCCATTTGTTCGCGAGCAGAAATTCTTGAAGTTTTTGAATGTATCCAAAATCAATATGGTGGTTACATTATCTCATCCGATCTAGAACCAATAACTTGATATTAATCAGCTAAGATTCCCGTGTCCTTTAACGCTTAACAAAAGTCAAGTGTGTAACATTATCCACCAATGTTAGTGCTCAAAACTTTAGTCACTTTAATAGTTCTGTAGTTCCTACATTACTTACACACCTATTTAGTCTTGTCGGCTAGTTGAAACCGACATCTTACCAGAGTTTTGTTTCCGCATATTTTCCGCTTCATTTCACCAACGCTTGTTAAAAAGTCTTCTTGCGTGTACCTTCAGTATCCACCAACCCAGTTATCTCACCGGACGTCCGATTTCTGTCCTTTCTCGCAAAGTGCACCTCCACCTAAAGGCAATGAGTAGGATCTCCCTTCCGAAGGTTGTTTAAGTGTATCCCTGGTAGGAGGGTAGATTTTCATCAAACTCAGAACAGTTGAAATGCCCTATTTCTACCAACCTCGTCACGCGCCATGTCTAAGTATCCAAGAGTAAAATCAGTTGACGTTACGTAAGCCTTTTCCAGACGGTCAGGCTGTTTGCAACACGGGTTTTGTTCAAGGAAAGGATGTACAAAATGTCATAAATCTCCCAAAACATATTAGCTGTAAGCCCTATGTATTGACTAGATGATTTTAAAACCCTCAACAATCACTGCATAACAGTGTGCTGTGGTTTTCAAATGTTGAATGATAATGACCTAAATCACTGTTTCTGGACAATATAATTATATGTGCCGTGGTGGCCAGTATGCATAATAGTATACTTTGTCATTGCTAAATATTAGTCCATTCTGTTAATTTCCGTAGGTCTTTCTGAAGCTCTTCATTGTCCTCTTCGTTTTAACAAGACTGATACTGACAGAAAGCTGGTACTGTCAATAGCACTCCAGAGTAGTAACAGTCAGTCAGTAACAACGTAGAACTTCGTACGTACGTACATCAGTTCGAGTTGCCACACCACATTAGCACAGAGATGCACTTGTCGATTCAAATCCCGTAGTGATAGAGATAATAAGAGTATAAGCAGTAATCGGGAAGATTAGGGTTTGGAGATGTTATTCAAGGACTATAATCCAGTGAAATAAATTTGGAAAGAGGAAAAAAGGGACATGAAGAATTCAGAAGATTAGAGTTTGGGAGAACATAGAGAGTGGATGCACCTGCGCCATTGCAAACGATTTTGAGCCATGTCATTCAGGGTCTCTAACCATCGGTTGCTGTCATCTCGCGGTCCCCAACCAGGTAGTCTACACCTACCAACATGACTCAGTTCACTTGTCAGTGACTTCATGGACTTGTGCCATGTTTTGGTTTGGCCGCCCCTAGCTTTCTTCCAACCTACTCCTATACCACTGAACATAGCACGTCGAGGCAGTCGGTCGTAGGGCATACGTAACACGTGTCCCAGCCATCTCAACTGATGAAGTTTCACTACTTCATCAATTGATTTGGCATCCTTACCTAGTACCCGTTTCCTAACAACTGCATTACTTACTCGATGGTCCCATGATATACGAGCAATGTTTCGAAGACACCTATGATCAAATACCAGTAACCTACGGATATCCTCTACTCTTACCGGCCATGTTTCACTGCCATAAAGTAGGACGGAACGAACTGCTGTGCAGTAAACACGTCCTTTCGTTGATAGACGGATATCTCGCCTACCCCATAAATGACGCAAGTTGGCAAAAGCTAGTCGAGCCTTCTGTATCCGTGCTGAGATTTCGTCACACACCAAACCACAAGGGCTGATGAGACTTCCAAGATAAGTGAAGCGGTCGACACACTCAACTACTTCACTCCCTATCACTAGTTCGGGTGTCGATGTAACCCAATCCTGAAGCAACATTTTGCATTTCGAGGGAGAGAATCGCATCCCGAACATGCTTGCATTGTTGCTTAGAGTGGTCGGAAGACTCTGCATTTTGTCAGCGTCTTCACCAAATAAAACTATGTCATCAGCATATTCTAAGTCAACAAGTGAACCTCCTGGTAGAAGTTCAACCCCTGTAAATTTAGATGAGGAGAGTGTTATCTCTAAAAGTACGTCAATGACAAAGTTGAACAAGAATGGGGAGAGTGGACAGCCCTGACGAACACCACTTGAGGTGATCAATTCTGATGACAGTTCGCCATAAGCTCTCACACTCTAACGAGTCTCAACAATTGTCTGCTATTACCTATTGCCGCTGCCTTTTCCATCTCTCTTGCTTTCGCTACCCACCACTGTTCGCGATCATTGCGTAGACTTCTTGTCAGCTTGCGCTTAAGCTGACTCCGCTCTTCATTATGTTCAGAGCCAGGTGGAATGAGTTTTCGAGCATCTATCAGTGCGATAGATGCTGCTGAGATCCAGTGTTGCTCCCTAACTTTACGGTTTACCTTACTAGTAGATATCACTGCTGTTTCCACAGCTTTTTGGATATCGTTCCATGCTGCCTCGGGGTGGGCATCACATACATGGCTGCCTAACTGTTTTCCTAGTTGTTCCTGAAATATATTCTTAGCTTGACTATCATTAAGTAGAGCCCTAAGAGGTTTCCTTGCAGGATCTTTCCTACGTCCAGTAAGACGCAAGCGAATACGCGCTCGCACTAGAGCATGATCTGAATCTAGGCATGTGCTCCAGAATGAGCGACAGTCTTCTATCGAGCCCCTCCATCGGTGGCTGATAGCGAGTAACACTAGTAACACTAGTCCTAAGATTGTACTTTGGAGTGTTCCACTAAGCACTTCCCACCAGAGAACTTGAATTTAAACTTTTGTTTGCGTACTGATAAAAATTGGTTTTTTATGGAAATAAATTTATCTTGATTTTGATATTACCGAAATGGATTAAGTCTAGTGGGTTGGACTCTATTAAAAGCCTTAGTGAAGTCGGCGAGAAATATTTCTATGGATAGCTTATGATCTTTCAGAACGTAACGGTTTTCCATTGCTACGAATAAGTTTGTGATAAATAAATAACCCTCCCTAAAAATAATTTACTTTGGGAAAAATATCATGTTTTCAGTAAGATGCTTAAATAATTCTTTGCGAATGATCTTTAAAATCTTGTTAAGTACACTATCTGGTAATTTTCAAGACTCCCAGCTATCTCTTTGAGACAGGACTTATTTATTTATTTATTCGATTACAAATATTGGTACAAAGGGGCACCAAATACATACACAAGTCACTTGATTTGTGTGTGTTCTGTGATACTGTCCGGGTGCCCAAACCAAAACAGGTGATTTTCTTAGAGGGCCATGTCCGGAGCATTCACCCTAAGGTTCGATCCACAAGGCGGTGGAGCGATGTCAGGAGATGCAGTTCCATGGTATCCGGTGACCAATAACTGGTTTGCACACCATTTGTTCTTTCAGGATCCTGGAGCTCATGTGCACCATTGATTTGGAATGAGGATTTTCCAACTCTCCTAGATGAATCTTCGATGTCCATTAACCCAGTTAAGGCGTTGGACATTCGCTTTTCATCCTCTCAATTTCGTAAACAACAGTAGTTCCGTGATAAGACAGTAAGTGAGTAGAAGTTCCGTGGTAGTGGTTGTATGCACGTGGCGATGTACGAACATTTCAAGAGCTTGAGTTTAGTCTCACCACTCTCGGTCGTGCCAGGGTATTTAGGGACTGGATTACAAATGTGTAATTATATCTATATTCAAATAATATTGATTACATATTATTTATATTTCTCACTTATGAACTTCTATTTTTATTTTATATTTTCAGCATAACGGAATTGATTTAATCATGCAAATATTGTATAGTGAAATAAGTGGACAAAAAAATTATTATCATACATTTTGTGATAATCTTAGTCAATCTATGTTAAATATGTCTATTCAATGTAAAAATGATAATGATCATTCTAATATAGTTAAAAAATGTTTAAATAAATTACATAACAATGATAATAATAATAATAATCACTACCATGTAACAAAATCTCCAATCATAGCAACAACAACGACAACAGTATCCTCATCATCATCAATGATCAATAATCAATCAATAAAACAAAAAAATGAATTACATTTATTAAATCACTTTTCTTCTTATAATAATAATAAATTAAATAATTTATTAAATATATCAATATTTAATTCAACATTAGATTTAATTGAAGCAGGTTTACGTTGTTTATCACATTTAACAATTGGACATATGGAATTAATAAATGTTTATCATTATTTTATACATCAACGTATTGCATCCAAATTAATTATATCAATGGGTAATATATATTTACCATTATTATTATCATTTCCATTTGATCAATATATTAATTTATATAAAGATACTACTATTAATACTACTACTACTACTACTAATAATAATAATAATAATTGGGAATTTGATTGTTTAACCCAAATACTTCAATTAACAAAGACTTGGACTATATTAGTACGAAATTTATGTATAAATTATTATAATAATGATGAATTCACATCTATAACAAAAGCAAATTCATACGATACATTATTAAATAATAGTAATAATAATAATAATAATACAAATCTATGGCCTAAGCATTTACGTTCACAATTTCGTCATGGTATTCATAAATTAGTACAAAATTTAAGGCATTTAATAAATACAGTAAGTTTTGACATTTTATTATGTATGTATGTGGTTATTTTTGGTTTGGTTTGTTTTGTTTAATACTATCCATTGTTTGATTGTTCACACTTGATGTATTGTTAATTCATACAATTACGGACTATTTGTTTAGAGTCCATATGACTATCGTAACTAATGATTGGAGACCGTGGGTGACATGATTCAAAATCGATCACAATGGTGTAGATGTATACACTCTTTATCTTCTCCTAAACTATGAGATTAAAATTGCTTTTATCTTTCCTTCTTCATGTTCTATATCCTTATACACGATCTTTCTTTCATATATTACTACCATTTAAGTAACCACTTCTATGAATTTGGTGTTCACCTTGTTGTGCTAATGAATGAGGTCTGGCAAATTGGACCGATGCACATATGTGCATGGTCTTATGTTGTAGCTGACTGAATGACAATTACATTGTAAATTATTAGTATGAAACTTCTTTTTTTTCATATTCATGGTATAAGGGGGAAATAAATACATATATACCACACAAGTTACTTGATTTATGTGTAAACTGTGATACTCTACCGAGTGTCCAAACCGAAGCAGGTGGTTTTCTTAAGGGGTCACACTCCAAGTCTTTGACTTAAAGGTCTAATCCACAAGGCAGTGGAGCAAGGTAAAGAGGTGTAGTCCCATAGTAGCCGGTGACCAACGATTGGTTCATACACCATTTCCTTCAGGATCTTGGAGCCCATGTGCACGATTGGTTTGAAATCACAGTTTTCCAAACTTCCACCAACCTGGTTAATGCGCTGGACATTCGCTTTTCGTTTTCTCAATTTCATAAACAGCATCCCCGCCACGAGAAAGTAGTGAGTATTACTTCCCTGTCAATGGTTGTATACGCATGGTCATGTGAGAGCATTTCGAGATGTAGAGGTGACTCTCCCCACCCTCGGCCTTACCAGGGCATTTAGGAGCCTTAAATTATTACTTTGATAGATGTAAGTTTATTGAGGAATACAGTGTGTATTACAGATTAGGTGTTACATTTTAATAGTTAACTAATTTAAATATTTGCAAAAAACTATAAATCTCATCATTAGTTTCACCCATATTTTTTTAAAAATCTGAATAATTTTTTCTAACATTTTACCATCATTCATTATCAACATATTAGTTTACCTTAGAAATACAGAAGAAACAATGAATGATATTATAAAACTTTTAACATTAAAACTAAACTATTCTATTTATTAAGTTTTTGATTAAAATCATGAACCGATTGATGTTAGACCACCATTGAAAACCTGGAAACACTAGACTTCTGTTTCGTCTTATTGTGGGACTCCTCAGCAGTGCGCATCCACGATCCCGCTCGCGTGATTCGAACCCAGGGCCTTCAGTCTCGTGCGCAAACGCTTAACCTACTGGATCATGTGCTCACTAGTGACTAGTTTTGTGAGGGAATTCTCAAACTTCTAGTGAGAAGCTGTGACCAGTGGAACCAATCCGTGTCGGGCAGAGACAGGTATCTGCCTCAGTACAACGGAAGATATTAGCTCGATTTTGTGGATTGGTTGAGGTTAGACATTAAAACCGTTGGATGCCGGTTCAGTAGTCAAGTAGGTTAAGCGTTCGCGCGCGAGACTGAAGGCCCTGGGTTCGAATCTCGCGAGCGGGATCGTGGGTGCGCACTGCCGAGGAGTCCCACAATAGATTGAAGCGGCCATTCAGTGCTTCCAGGTTTCCAAAGGAGGTGGTCTAACATCAATCGGTTCATGATCTCAATCAAAAACTTAATAATCTCCACAACCCCTACACTGATATTCTACTTATGTTTCTGTTGTTTTTATTTGGCACCGTTTTTCTTTTATAAACAATCGTTTTTATATCTGAAATAATTGAAATGAATACCCTTGTATTGTGTAATATGTATACTATTTAGATATCAATAGATAAAAACAAGGTATCTTTTGTTGTTATTGTTGTTGTAATGAGTTAATTTACATTCAGAAATGAAATAAATCAAGTATTTGTTTATTTAGCCTATTATACGAGGTATAAAAAGACACTTTCTTAAAGCCAGAAATTTAGTAAGATATTTTGCACACCTATTACTGAGATGTTGACCCTTAATTAAATATGAATTAAAAAGTGGTATCCATTTGTCGGCAGAGTAAAACTACATAGTGGGTAACTGTATAAAATTGTGTTTATCATCAGAAGATATATTAACTTTTAAGAAATAGAAAAAAAGCATCTCATTAAGCAAAGATGGATAATGGTTAGCAGTGGAATCCACTTTGATGCGCCTCTCGTCCTATTTGGGACGCGTCAGCTAAATGTACCTGAATCTCAGAGTTGATGTTCACTCCGAGACTCGAACTCAGTATCGTTCGCTTCAAACATCACCGTGTTCTCCACTTAGTTACTGAGTCCTAATAGCCACTTCCTTGTGCAATTGGATGAAGTTTTAAATTCACTTGATGTTGTTTTACTTGTATCTTCCCATTGTTATTTAGAACTGTAATTGATCAGTCACTTGTCGGCATATGTATATCCTGTTCGGATTGTCTCGATATAGCCCTAAGTCACAAGCTTTTTAAACAAAGATAGATAGTGGCTAGCAATGGAATCCAGGCCGCGCGTTTCGTCCTATAACAATGGGAAGATACAAGTAAACAATACTAAGTGAATTTAAACCACCTCATTGCACAAGCAGGTGACTATTAAGACTCAGGAGCTAAGTGGATAAAGCGATGGCGTTTGAAGCGAGCGGTGCTGAGTTCGAGTCCCAAAATAGGACGAAACGCGCATCAAAATGGATTCCACTGCTAGAAACTATCCATTTTTGCTTATAGTAGCATTATTTATTACCCACTTACTAATCAGCTACTTTATGAATCGGTTTATGACTATATATGTCATTAGTTTATATCTTGAAGCATAACAATATCCTGAATTATGTGACACCAAATATTTTCATCATGCTTGTGGGAAATAATTAAAATACGAACGACTACCGAGAAATAAATCTTCATACATTAAAGTAGTTATAAAACGGAATGAAAATTAGACGAAAAGACACTACTTATTTTATTAGCTTATTTCTTTCATTCATTTACATAACCTTATGAATGAACGAACCACTTTGATCTCTCTGAGTTAAATATTCAATGTCAGTGTATTTACAAAATGTACAGACATATAAATGTACAGACTAAAACACTTATCGTTCTTTCTAATTTGTCTAGTCACTCACATTATTGAAGAAAATTATAAGACACATTTGTTGTCGGCAACTTGACACGTTAGTGTTTCCTCTCTCTCTCTCTCTTCGTATCTATGTATATGGAGAGAGAGAGAGAGAGAAATCCGAAACCACATTGTTTACCTGAAATCCAAATAAGATTTAGATCAGGCAGGGCTGACGAATATTGAATATTCGTTTAATGATTTAAATCTTGTAGACTAAATGGATAATGAGGTCATAAAATGGAGAAAAAAAATCTATATTATACAATGCAACTGCTATAGGATACATTATATACTGACTGAATGTGTAATATCATGATACTTCATTCAAATCTATTACACTTTAGTCTAAGTGACTGGATAGATTTAACTGACTTTCATAGGATACCTGTAACTTAGAATTTTTTTTAGTAAATGTTGAGTAAATAATAATTTTCCTAAACAATACACCAACTTATAAACATATTGGTCGTTATGGAAGTCTGATCAGCCCTAATGGGTTGGTGTATGAAGAAATCTCAGCACGGATTCGAAAAGCTCGTTTGGTTTTTGCCAACTTACGTCACATATGATGATGGCGAGATATCCGCCTATCAATTAAGGGACGGGTATACTGCGCGACACTCGTAAGCTACTAGTATTTGATCACAGATAACTTGGAAATATTGCTCATATCTGCTGGGATCACCGGGTAAGTAATAGTGAAGTTAGACGCAGTATTAAGGAATGATGGTAAATCAGTTGATGAGGTTGTGAATCTTCATCGACTGAGATGGTTGGGCCATGTTTTACGTATGCCTGAACACCGATTACCACGACGTGCAATGCTAACCGGTGTTGGAGATGGTTGGAAGAAAATTAGAGGCGAACAAACCAAAACGTGGCATCAGTGGTTGAAGTCACTAACTTCTAGTCTTAGCCATGTTGGTAGATGCAGACTACTTGGTTGGGGTCGGCGTGACTATCGTAACCAATGGTTGGAGACTCTTGGTGACATGGCTCAGAATTGACCACAGTGGCGTCGGTGTATACACTCCCTGTCTTCCCTTAAACTAAGAGATTAAAATCGCTTCATATCTTTCTTTCTACGAACTAATTCTTTCTTCCTGTACTATATCCTTATATCCAATCTTTTTTTATATGTTACCACCTCTGCATTAACTAATTTTATGAATTCGGTGTCCATCTTGTTGTGTTAATGAGGTATGGCAACTTGGACCGATGCATCTATGTGCCTGGTCCTACGTTGTAGCTGACTGACTGACTTAGGTCGTTAGATAGGAACCAATTTCATACTTGAAATCTTGTTAACATTTGACTTCCATAGGTTGATAAATCTTCGAATTTTTCACATTTTAACAGAGTAAATGTCAATTTTGTATTGTCTAGCAATTGACATCCTTACTACTTGAATGCTTTAATGTCGAATTTATTGTCTTTAGATATATGTTTCCTGAATTAACTTCATGATACAGTTATTTGAACTTAGTAACTTGAAATGGTGGGGAAGATTTGTAGCTCAGGTGGATGATTTTGATAGAGTTTTGTTCTCTGAGTTTGATGGTTTGGTCGAGCTCGGAGAACAAAACTTAGTAAATTTAATATAGTGAGTTCTCTTAATGTTCGTAGGCTAGCCACTAAGTGTATGTTCATGAATTTCTTATCGACTATTTTACTTAATTTGATACCGGTTCAAAAACTAGAGGTGTATGTATGGAAAAACTTATTTCTTCTCTATACTTATTCATTTCCCGAATTTCAGTTTATTTTA